TAACCTCGCCCCTAAACAAATTCAAATTTCGGCAGGTGGAGTATAGCGTCTTCAGCCTAAACAAATAAACTTCACCTCTAAACAAATTCAAATTTTGTCGCTCGTTTACCACCATCTGTTAGACGAACCCTAAACAAGCAAACATCGCCCCTAAAACAAATTCAAATTTTGTCGCTCGTTTACCACCATCTGTTAGACGAATCCTAAGCAAGTGAACATCCATCGCCCCTAAAACAAACTCAAATATTCGGCAGGTGGAAGCTGTATAACATCTTCAGCACACACCAGCAGACCGGCGACGATGCCGACATCAAAGTGGGACAGGCCGCAGAGCAGCGAGCGTTCGTAGACCGCCTATACATCCCGCCCGACCAACCCGTCCTCTTCCTCGGCGACTACAATATACATCTCCACGGTGACGAGGAGCTTCTCTCGGCCGTCATGGCGACGCTCGAGGCGACGCTGCCAGCGATTGTGGGCGAGCGAGAGTGCACGTCCGACGGGGAGAACGATCTTCATGACGACGAGAAGTCGTGCTCGTGGCTGGACTACGTCGCGTTCAGCCACACGCACGAGAAGCCGACCCACGCGACGATGGAAGCCTTGCGACCGATGCAGGAGGAAGGCTTCCCCATCTGCTTTGACGAGGGAAAGATTCTACGCCTCGGGTATCTGTGGCCAGACGACGACCGATGCACGAATAAGAACTACGTCGTGCGAGACCTCTCGAGTCATTTCGCGGTTCTCGGGCGATACATGTTCCCCAAGTAGAGCCGGGATAGGATCGATCCCGATCAGATTAATCTGGATGCCGGAACCGCTTCTCTCGCTTCTGTTCCGTTTTCGGATGATAACAAAATTATCGAGATAGCCGAAAGCGCCCTTTCTTAGCATAAATTAATAGGATGATAATTGCCTCCCACGTTGTGAGCTAGCTTTATCAGTACAGAGTTATGTAGTCAAGGTTTAATTAATAGGACGATAATTGCCTCAAACTTGTGCGCGACAAGCAACACTGACACGTTTTTACCAATCTCAGTTATCAAGCTCTTATTATCTGTATTCGCAGCAACGATCTATCTTAGGCGAAGACCATCTTTCAAATAGAAAAATTACAATGTGTGTACACAATGCTTCTAGTTCTACCATTTCCATTTTAAATGGTGATTTAAAATTATATGCTGACATGGTCCGTGTAAACACAAGTCAGCTCGTGGGAATCGTTCCACTGCTACCACCCATTATTTCCTTATTAGACGACATATATGTCCATAATCGGTGAACCATCAATTAGACAATTTCTGGTCCAAAAAGTAGTCAACTCACAACTGAATAGGTAAACCCATGCATAAGCATTTGATTCCCAGTATTGTCGCTAAATTAGATTTACCATGCAACCATGTGTGGCTATCTAATGGCTACACCCCCTTCTCCAAGTAGTGGCAGGGTGTGGTCCTAGCAGAGTATTAACTTTCAATCTATACCAAATACCAACTTGCGATTCTGTGACTCTCTATTGTAATGTTTATGTAGACTAATAAATTGTGCCGTAGAAACAAACGTGGTGAATGCTTGTATTAAAACTTTTTTAGTTTCTGACCATGTAATATAAAAAATGTACGTAATATCTACACTTCTCACTTTGTTAACCTCTTAGTCTTACCATTTAATCATAAAACGCTTACCATGGATTATCAGCTAAGAAACACTTTTTATCACCTCCTATTTTGTAAAAAATATCATGGCAATGTACATTAACAACTTTGTCAGAACAGAAATGGTAACCCTTTAAAGTTTGTCGTCTCTTGAGCTTGTGGTGTGTTCCCACAAACCAATGAAATCATTACTGGTCAGTGGCAATACGTCAAAAATCAAGATTGCAATTTTTGTTCTGACAACAAACAGTGAAACACTACCACAGGCACTTGGGCCGTTTTAATAATACAAGTGCAGGGTTCTCCCTACGTTGCGCAAACGGGGTGCGCGCGCCCCGTTTGGGAAAACTCCCCCCTGTTTCAATCGTTGCGCCCCGTTTAAATTACCTCCGCCCCGATTAAATTCCACCACAATAAAAGTTTGCCAGCGCGGGAATCGATCGTCAAGAATTCCCGTTCGACGAGGACACCCGACGCGTGTATTTTTACCATACCACGCATGCACTGCAGACAGTACACAAGTTAACCTGACAGTTAACCTGTCCCGAACACAACACTAACTGTACACTGACTCGGCTATCTTATATATACAAGAACCCCAAATACCGTCTATGGTGTGGTGGCGATTTTACGCATTAATTAGTGGTACGGTAAAAAT